AGGTTTTATCTGAACTCAACTCACCATGGGCACCAGCAATCGTGTGCGACGGCAGTTGAAAAATTCACCTACACACTCTCTGACATTTTCGGGATTTTCGTTAATTACATGTTGCAAAATCACACGTATAATGGCACGTATCTGATAAAAACATTTAACTTATATTATTTGTACTAAATCACAAAAATGGCTCATCTAGTTATACCTCGGGATGTTCCTGTATGTACGCCCAGTTTCCTCTGCGCAACTGCTTCTGAATACGTGGCAGCGAACTGTAGTGTTTAATTTTATTTGAATCCCATTGGCCCATATCGAGGATCTTGGGTACAAGGCATTGCTTTGATTTTTCCATATTTTTGTTCTTTTTTACACAAGAAATTTAATTTTATGTTAGCAAATTTTGAAAGGAAACTGGAAGAAGGAAGGCTTGACCTCCAAGCATTTACAGTCAAAATAAATAAACAAATAAAAACACTGCATACTTGTAAGCTGATTATTATTAAATACTATGTATAAAGACTTTTCGTATTATACATATTCAGTAAATAAAAATTGTTTTATGATATGTTCACACAGTGACCACAAACAGTGAAATCACAAAAGTTGAAAAACTGCTAGAAGTGCATAATTCAATTTTGTTAACTATTTTTGTTTAATTTGTATAGCTTCATGGCAATTAAATTAATATTGATTTTACGAGCACTACGTTTGAGTAAAAAAATTGAAGGTATCCCAGCCCAACTCAAATATTCATGCAGATATGCTGCATACATTGTCGATGTCATCCAACGGACGCCTTCAAGAACTTAACTTTTTCGCTATTGGAGATTATGATAGTTACTTATATATAAAATTAATTCTTTAGAGTTATACCTATACCAAATTTCGCCCTAAGCATATATTTCACTTAAAAACTACATACATGTTATGTACACATATATATATTTGTAAAAATATAACATATAGATTGTATTTAGGTGATGAGCAAGACTCGTTTCTTATAGGATTTGTGTAACTTCCTCCTCCGAATCGCTTTGATCTGAAAATTACAAATATATTTGCTCTAAATGTTTTCTAACTGATCATGATCATATAATACAAACTCCATATACCTTGTTTCCTTATTGCTGGCTTCTTGCTAGCCTTATTTTTACTCCGATTGGGCTTGGACTTGCTTGTTTTGCCTGCCACCTGCGTTGACTCTTTCAAGCTTTGCTGCACATTTTTCACTTGTTGTTCTATCCACGTGTTTTGCTCCACCGACAGCCAGGTGGTTTCATCCATAGGCGCTTCTGACATAGGTAAATACATAATTTTAATGACGTCTTCACGAATACTCCCTAATACTCTTACCATCTATTTTTGTGTCCGCAGGCAACTGTTCATCGCCAACTGTTTCCGTTGACGGAATGGGCTTGTCACTAATCTTCTTCTGTACAACCTCCTGCCGCACGTTCTCCGCCATTAAATGCTTAAAACTCAACAGGGGCGCAGTATCGCTTAAGAGATCCACCAAGCCGACCACTCGATTGGGCTGTAATCGACGCTCCGCATCCAGCTCCAATGCCTTGCGTATAAATTGGACCAGGGCTTTCGAACGATTCGCTGCGCTGCGTGCACATTGCATGATGGTGCGTACGTTGGTCGGGGCGGTACCGCCAGCATTGAGTGTACATAGCTCTTGGTACGAGTTAAAGCTCAATACAATGATCGAGTCTGCGGCATTCTCTTCCAACAGAGTTGGGTCGACCAATGGATTTGAACTACTTTTGTACAGACAATATGTTACGCTTACAGGATAGTGCAGAAACAGCAGAGGCATCAATTCGCGCTCCCTTTCGCTAAACGTGTGAATTTTCTCTTCAGCATAAGAGACTTCCGGTCGACGGAAGTGCATTAGTGCTGCAAGCGCAGCAATCGTACTTGCATCTGTAAGAAAAACCTTTTGGTAAAATTGATATCCTCTCATACACTTTTACACACCATATAAATTTCCATCATGGTTCAACACATTAATGTCAACGCGCACACACCATACATGCTGCTCGACAGCGATGCACAGGGACTCAAGATCTAGACAACGAGAGCTCCTAAATGTGCGCTCCAGCAACGAGTTAAGTGTTAAGAAGCGTTGATCGTGGGTCGACTGAATTTCATCGAGAAATGCCACACCCTTGATGTCCACGTTCAGATACAGTGTCCCCTCGTTGGCTCGCGCACTGGACGGTGTCCCAATGTCGCAGCTGACTTGTGCCAGTACCTTTGTATCACCCATGGACACCGCCACTGTGCCCCAATCCGAACCGAAGGTTAATTTCACATCTCGGAATTCGTTTGCTTTGCGGCCATCAAAGCGTGTATTCTGCTTTACTGCACTCTGTATAAAACTGCGCTCGGACTTTGATTTGCCCGGCTCGAACAAATTTGCATTCATAAACATTACTTTTCTCTTTTAATCTCCACTTTTGTTTTGTGCCGGCATTTAAAAACGTGCATAAACCAGGGCTGCCTAAGCAATGTTGGTATATCGATACGTATTTGACGAATATCGATAGCATCAGCAATTGCTATTAATACTTGTTCTGTGAAAGCAAGCAGTTCTAGCTCAACGAATTAGCTATGATGGCAATAAGTTCATTTGATGTGAGTCGTTCAATCCAAATAGTTCCGAGTGTTTCTTTACAACTAATGCAGATTCTCATTTACTTCTTTTAATTAGGAAACATGAATTAATTAAAGCATCAATTAACACACATTGCTTCATGACCCAACCTACACACGATATTTAACACATCGTAACACAGAATCATGGTAAGCAAAAATTGCCAATGTCGGTTCGTTATGCCCGGAAAAATGGAATGTGCATAATAATTGACCAAAAATAGAATTGACCCAAAAATAGTTATAGATGACAGAAATGTTGGTCGTTGTGAATTCTAATGAAATAAAAATGTAATTTTAGGCCATACTTGGTGCCCAATTGGTTATAACGTTGGTTATGGTCAGCGTTATTCAGAAGCTGAGCCCCCACTATTCCTTTGCCAAGTGGATACTCTGCCGGACCGGGCTATTCCGTTATCTACATCCTACGGACGATGAACTGCGCACCAAGGCCGGCGTGCCGAAAGAACGTGGTGGCAAGGGTAAGCTTAAGCACCAGAATGGACTGAGCAACGGCGCCTCCTCGCAGCAGTTTCACATACCACGCAGCATCGAGATCGAGCTGGAGACATTGCCAGTGGTGGAACGTGATGTTATACATTTGCGCTACTTCACTGAATACCAATGGCTGTTGGACTTCAGCGTATATGCTGGCATTGTGTATGTCATCTCAGAGCTCTTCCACTACTTCTACCCGCTGAAGCAGGAGATCAATCTTAGCATGGTTTGGTGTCTCTTGGTCATATTTTTTGCCATCAAGCTGCTTTCCTCCCTCACTGTGATGTACTTCCAAAGTGAGGAATCAATTGGGGAGCGCTCCATGGTGATAGTCGCCTGCCTGGTCTATTTACTAATTGCCATGATCGTTCTCATCATTGATGAGCGTATCCTAGAAACAGGTCTAGAGGATGCATATACAAGTTTCAATGCCAGCGCATCAAAGTTCCTCACCGAGCAGGGTCTACCGTCATCGTGAGTTCAATTTCATATATGTATATTACGTTATTTCTATTCACAAATATATTTGTCGTTACAGTGGACCAGCCTCGAAGATTGTTGTTAAGTTCTTTGTCGCCTTGAGCTGCGGCCTTCTGGGCTCCTTGTTCACATTTCCGGGCTTGCGTATGGCCAAAATGCATTGGGATTCCTTAAAATATTGTAGGGGCAATCGCCTTCTACAAATTACGCTCAACGTGAGCTTTGTGTTGCCCTTCATACTAGTCATATTGTGGATAAGACCCATCAGTCGGGACTACCTGACAGTGCGTGTCTTCGAAGGCATGCAACATCCACTGTAAGTGAGAAAGCCGTTGGCAATTGATTGTCAAGTATTGTATTATAGATTTTGTGTTTTCTAGACTCAAGCCTCATGTTTTCGAAACATTACGCCTCCTGCTGGTCATCTTTGTGGTTGTTATGCGCTTTGCACTGATGCCCATCTATTTGCAATCTTATCTCAACTTGGCCTATGACAAAATTGTCGATCTTCGTAAGGAGGCTGGACGCATCACCAATGTCGAGTTTCAAAAGAAGGCAATCTTAAACTGATCACTTACTAATCAATTCAGATTTCACTAACAATTTGCTGCTCTTTACATAGATCTCGTCAATATTCTACTATCTGTGTGTTGTGACGCTGCAGTTTGCTGCGCCTTTAATTCTGTGCCTCTATCTGACGCTAATGTACAAGAGTCTTGGCGGCTTTAGCTGGACGGGAATCTTCAAGGAATCGGTTGTCCTGCAGCACGAATGTGCCGCTGATGCGGAACTGGCACCGATCCCTGCTGAGAGCAATGTTGAAACCGAATTTAATATTATGGAATCTGCTCAGTCATTACAGGCTTCGTTCGCTAGTTTGAAAAATGTAAAAGCATTCAACCCATATTTTAGTTCATTTTTACTCAAGATATTTGAACTGTTTCAGGTGTTCTCCACAGAAGTGTATAAAGGCTTTCTGGGATTTGCCACCTGGTGGAGCTACTTCACGCTCTTTGCAACTTCATCGTTGGGTATTGTCTATCAATCATATTTCAACAAGACCTAAATGGACGCACTTAACAAAATTTTCTGTACCACCAAAACGAACTATTTGGTAATCTAGAAATCATCTCTTGTTCTAAACTCGTTGATATTGTTTTATAGTCATGCCATAGGTCAAACTAATTGAAATATGTCATGTATTGTAAATATTACTAATTTATATATTGTTTACGACAAATTTTAAACCAATAAAATGTTCATACTAGTGCGTAAACTTGTTGCAGTTCTCAAACGCCTGTTAATGGTGATTCGATTCGATTCTTACAAACGGTTACAGATGACAAAGAAAAACAATGAAATTTGATCTGATAACCCCATTTATTATCTTCAAATGTGATATTTAGTAACTACCAGATTAAAGAAAATCTCATTTAACGCCCGTTTAAACCAGTAATATGTTCCATTCGTAAGACTAAATTTCATATAAGCATATATGTATATTTATATAAGTATTGAATTCAGATGCTTTATATTTTCTTAGATTTTGGCAATTCCAATTACGCCGCAACCGATGCGAGCGCCAGCGTTGCCAGTTGTCTTGCTCAGCTCATGACCACCTTTGCCTAAGTCGTCAGCATCAGCATGTACCACAACAGTGCGTCCGATAATGCTATTGGCTCCAAACAACGTGATTTTGCAATCGCATATGTCGACTGGAGTGGGTCCGTCGCCGGTGGCTACAATATTGCCCAGATCACCTAAATGACGATTCTCGTCAGTCGGAGCGCCATGTTCCTTCTGGAATGGATTGAAATGCGGTCCTGAGGACATGCAGCCGTTCGTGTTGTCGCCAAACTCGTGCACATGGAAGCCATGCTGACCCTTCGCCAAGCCAGTAACTTCTCCTGTAACTTTCACCGGGCAGCCGTCCGCCTGTTAAACGTAGATCAAAAACAGATGAGAAGTGTTATACAAAGTAGAAACAATGATAGTGATTCCATGCCAGCTGATAAACACCACTAAAATGTGCTTAATCACGGCGATAAAGCATTTCAGGGCTTAACAGCGCGTAACATCATTGAATATGTAAGCCACCAGTGCTATCATACCAAATGCAACAATACATACATATGTATACATATGTATGTAAGTTAGGTGATAACATAATGTAAAATGTATACCGAGTATTAGCATGCAATATAATTGAAAAATGAAGTGAGGGGAAGTGTTATAGCAACATAGCTAAGATAGGAGAATTAAACTCATCCCACATACTTGTGCATCCCTTACATACACATGTGCGCAGTGTTGTGCTTATATAATAACGCATTTGTTAAATGACACTGCACAAATTTCATGCAATTGAAATTCAAGTAGCTTCACAGCGAATTTCTATGCACATGTATGTATGTGTGCGAGTGCGAGTGTATGTATATTAAACACATTGTTGTGTTAGTTAGGAGAGGCGCGGTGCGGCCGGTTAATTGACCTTCGTAATTTTCAGTCGTCTATTGGGTTTCTTTAAAGAAAAAAACAAAAATGTTTACCTCCTGTTCAAAGAAAACGGTGCCCTTGGCATCACCATTGATAACGCATACAGCTTTAGCCACCATTTTAGGATATTTTATAGATTATAAAATTAAATGTAGATAATTTAATTACGAATGTCCCGAACAAAACTTGTCAATCGCACAGCAAGAAACCAAATGGCCAGATGGCGAGAATAAAAGGCTATCGATTATGTATCGATAAAAATAAATTTGAAACTTCCACCATTATCAAAGGTATTCATTATTATTATTGTAATAAAACTTCAAATATTGACTGCTTTTTATTAGTGCATTCATATTTGCTGTTTACATTATTGTGTATACATACATCAACAAATCGGTTTACAGCTGTCAGCTGAGCAACAGGAAGTCTTTGAACGTGGATCATTCACAAACAATAATCTATCGATATCGCTTCCAGAAGCTCGCTCAAAAATTTTGGCTACACCAGAATTTATCACGCCTTTAGTGTATATACGTAATTTGAATTTTTAAAATCGGTGGCGCAATTGAATTCTCAGGTAAGTTAATTGTGTTTATATTTACGGATACGAAATATGTATGCCTATATGTTCGGATGGATAGTGGATGTACTAAGTCATTTATCAGTGGTATACGAATAAATGAATTAATGTGTCGATGTACATATGTATGTATGTATGTACGTATGTATGTGTGTTTGCAAGCACGCATACTTTATGGGTATTCCCTACGATTACGTAATAGTGTGTCTTTTAAAATTGGGTATTCCCCATGTAACAAGGTCACTTTGAGTAATTCATTCGCTAATATGTGTTATTTTTACTATAATATTTCAGCTGTAAACATGGATAGATGGTAAGTATTTAAATACTGGTATTTTTTTTTTCGAAGATTAAACAATACATTTTTTTTTTGACTAAAGGTTCGCACCTGCTCTTAGTGGTATGGATACAGAGTTTTCTGACTGTCGCATTTTAGTAGGATCCAAAATATTCAAGTGTCACAAGCTAATTCTGGCATGTGCCTCAGATGTCTTTAAGCGCATGATGTTGATTGAGTGCAAGGAATCAATTTCTGGTGACATATTCTTAGACGATGTAACGCCAGAGACTTTTGAAATATTTCGTCAATATATTTACTCCTACAACACCGTCAAACTGAATGAACATGACAATGCAACGTTAATGGATCTATACCTATTCGGTAACAAATTTCTTGTACCTTCAATAAGCAACGATTGTTTGAAGTTGTTGATCGATCGTACCCGTGCCATGAAAGGCGAAGAACTTGTTGAGATTTTTGAATTCGCTTTCAACCTCGACGACAAGACTCTTCTTCAAACAGTTACTTCCTGTTTAAATCGCTCAAATCAGAAGATAAATAACCGAGTTTTTCTACTAGGCTCTGATATTTTCAAGGAATATATGGCCACCGTAGCTAAGAATGAACGGGTAATGTCAAAGTTTCGAGCAATTGAAAAATACCTGGAAATCAATGGTTTTCTAGATTATATTAACTTAAAAGAAGAGCCACATGATGCCAACAATAAAACAAATCTTAATGATAAAAATGCGACAAAGGATTGTCACAAAATTGTATTAAAACAATCAAATCCTATGGATAATGACTCAAATGAGGATGCTTCTCAAAAGGAAAACAAATCAGATTTTAATGAAGCGAATGTGGAAAACGAGAATAAAATGTTAAAAAACAAGATCGACCCAAAGCCAAAAGAAGAATTCATCAAATCTATACTAGAATCTATAGATTACTCAAAAATGACTGGGTATGACTTTTATCAAGGTCCTGGAAAATCCAGTTTATTTACATATCAGTTTAAATTTGAAACTCTTAACAATATATTTAAAAAATCAAATTCAGAATACGTAAACGGATGCCGAAATGGTTATTAAAATACTACAATATATTTTATGCTCAATTTTTTATATGAACAAAAGGGCATAAAAGCATTTACCTAATAAACTTTAAATAATAAAAAAGTAAAATTTGTTTGTGATTTCTATTGCTTTAGAGCCAAGAGCAAAGAAATATTTTCACATACTTGTCTTCGCCTCATTTCTAGTGTTAATATAAAATTCCGCTTTTACTAAGCTCCCTTGTATCCCTTGGATTTGCATTGACTTCCTTAGCTCACTATTCGTTTCGTCACTATCGCTGATCATTTCTTTGTCAATCTGGTATTTTTCGAAACATTTTAATACAGCACAGTTTGAAAACCTATTAATTTCCCGGTTTCCCTAAATTGTATTAAAGTAGCTTAACTCTATAAAAACCAGACTCAGCTAAAAAAATATAAAATAAAATGTACTTAAATAAAATAGCCCAATGTGTCTATTAGGAGTCGATTAGGAGTTTTTTTTACAAAGGGATTCAATATATTATATATGTATATATACAAAATTTTAAAATAAAAACATTAAAAATATGTAATAATAATAAAACAATTAAAATTAGTAAGACATCAAATATAGTAAAGTATTATAATTGTGATAATGTATAATAATAATTTATAAATAGTAAAAATAATATAAAAAAGAGTAATACAAGTATCTAAAAAATATAATCAGTTATAACACTGACCAAAGACAGTGGTTATAACGAGCAAGTCTATTCATAAATAACAGCCTGCAGTATTTATCGATAGGATTTGTATTTTGTGTTGATGTTTTTCAACACTAAATAAGAAGAAAAGCCAGCTGGAAAGAGAGAGAGAGAGAGAAAAAGAAAAAGAAAAAGCAGAAATTACTAAGTAACCGCAACTGCGAAGTTAGAAAGAGCTTTGATAATACAACTTATGATTAGGCAATTTACAACAGCGATAGCTCATCTGACGACTACATATTTGACTGTACGTGTAGCGAGCGTACTCAGTGCAAGTGGAGGTACGAAAATGAAAGCAACAACCGAAAAATTGGCAAAGCTGCGGGAGCTGATGCAAAGTGCTACCACTCCGGAAGGAACTGGAATCAGTGCCTATGTGGTACCATCGGATGATGCACACCAGAGCGAATATCAATGTGCGCACGATGAGAGACGAGCATTTATAAGCGGATTCACTGGGTCCGCCGGCACAGCGGTTATAACGAACGACAATGCGTTATTGTGGACGGACGGTCGGTATTATCAACAGGCGGAGAATGAGCTGGATGCTAACTGGACGCTGGTCAAGGATGGACTGGCAGCAACGCCATCGATTGGTACATGGCTGGGAAAGAATTTGCCCAAAGGCAGCGCCGTTGGCGTTGATCCGCGCTTATTCTCATTTCGCGCTGCGAAAACGATTGAGAAGGATTTGAATGCATCCGATTGCACTTTGGTGGGCATCGAAGAAAACCTAATCGATCAGGTTTGGGGTGATGATCAGCCGCCGCGTCCCTCTAACACTTTGATAACATTAGATTTGAATTTTGCCGGCGAAACCATCGCAGAGAAATGGGAACGGACTCGCGAGCAAATGAAGCAACAGAATTCGAATGCCTTAATCGTTAGCGCTCTGGATGAGATTGCCTGGTTCTTAAATATGCGCGGCTCGGATATTGCCTATAATCCAGTATTCTTTGCATTTATGATCGTAACACACAATGATATTGTTTTGTATATTGATTCGTCAAAACTTCCAGTTAACTTTGAACATCATCTTCAGCAAAATGGGGTCAAAATATCAATCTGTCCCTATGAGTCGATCGGTGATGGAGTACGTCAAATGACATGTGACGTGAACGATAAAGTATGGATATCGCCCACGAGCAGTCTGTATCTGAATTGTCTAGTACCGAAATCAGCGCGACATCAAGATATCACACCAATTGCCTTATTCAAAGCGATTAAAAATGATCGAGAGATCGAAGGCTTTGTGAATAGTCATATTCGAGATGGCGTTGCATTGTGCCAGTATTTCGCTTGGCTGGAAGCAGCTGTGGAACGGGGCGAGGCAGTCGATGAAATCTCTGGTGCGGATAAATTGGAAGAGTTTCGCCAGACTAAGGACAATTACATGGGTCTGAGCTTCACAACGATAAGCTCGTCGGGTCCTAACGGTTCGGTCATTCACTATCATCCAGCACAGGAGACAAATCGACCCATCAACGACCAGGAAGTCTATCTATGCGATTCGGGCGCTCAATATCTGGATGGCACGACTGATGTGACCAGAACTTTTCACTTTGGCACTCCCACCGAATTCCAAAAGGAGACCTATACACGTGTACTGAAGGGCCAGCTTACATTCGGATCCACAGTGTTTCCTACAAAGACAAAGGGCCAAGTTCTGGATGTGCTGGCTAGAAAATCTCTCTGGGACATCGGCTTGGACTACGGACATGGCACTGGACACGGCATTGGGCATTTCTTGAACGTTCACGAAGGTCCGATGGGCGTTGGATTCCGGCCAATGCCCGACGATCCTGGACTACAGCAAAATATGTTCATTTCTAACGAGCCCGGATTCTATAAGGATGGGGAATTCGGCATACGCATCGAGGACATTGTCCAAATTGTGCCCGCACAATTAAACCATAATTTTTCCAATCGTGGCGCTCTTACGTTCAAAACCATCACAATGTGCCCAAAGCAGACGAAAATGGTTATCAAGGAACTGTTGACCGAGATTGAAGTCAAACTGCTCAACGATTACCATAAATTGGTTTGGGACACGCTCTCCCCACTTTTATCCGATGATCCTTTCACCTTGGAGTGGCTTAAAAAAGAAACCAATGCCATATGAATAACGTTTTATAATAAAAGCCACAGAATTATTTCTTTCATTTTTTTAACAATTAACGTTCTTTAAATAAATGCCGTTTGGTTCACTGAAAAAGTTAATAACTAATAGATCCTTTTAAATTAGTAATTGAAATTATTTTCGATGAATTTTTTGTAATCGTTTTCCAGCACCTTTTTTTTTGTTGATTTTCCTGTTAAATTGGATGCGCATCATATTCAAATCTTTGCCTTTGACATTAATATTCAATTTAAATATACATATACACATGCCAAATTCTTGGAATTGGATGGTTTTGTGAATGAAAACGAGTCAGGCGACGACTGAAATCGACAATAAATTAAAGAACGACGAAACAATCAAATTGAAATTGGAGCCAAATAATGTAGAAACGAAATATAAATCGAAGGAAAAATAATGTCGATTAATTAAAGACAAA